ATGAATTTAATGAAAATGAAGATGGAACACATGACTGTCAATTCATTGTATTCTCACCATTCAATGAAGTCGCTAAAAGAAAAAAATCCATTACGTATAAGATTTCAAATCTCCGAACCAAGTGATGATTTTAAGAATGTTTTCAATTATGATGCAATGCTTCCGAGGAAAAATGAATTTTCAAAGATTGTAACACCTGGCATTTGGGATAGAAAGCAAGCATACTTTACTCTAAATAGTAAAGGCGTTGAAAATGAGTTCATTGGTCATACAAGAACTTCACCACTTCCTAACCCTAAATACTATAAATTAACTGGCTTCAATCGTGAGTTTTGGATAGACATGTTCTCCACTCATGACCATAAATGTCCAGTGTTCTTGCCTCCAGATAAGGACTGTCTCTACATTGAAGCACAACTCTTAAACTCTACCATCGCAGTATTGTAAAATCTACGCTAGCTTTATTTTTATCACGAATGACTCATCATGACCTCATTCATGACCTCATTCATGACCTCATTGCTGACAAAAATAAGCCGCTAGCGGCAAGGGCGAAGCCCATGACCTCAGAACTTCAACTTACGAATAAAGCTTGTTTTAGTCGTTATTGAAAAGTTGAACTTTTCAGCAAAGCAAGGTTGACATGACTTACATAAGTCGAATGCAATCTCTTGACCATCATAAAGTGCTTTGTAAAGTTTCATTAAACTGAACTCAGAGTCTTTGTCATATGTTCCAACAGGTATGTGAATGTTCTTATCTTCATTGTAATAGCATTGTATAGCTTCAGGAAACATTTCATTAGCGGTTAAAGCAATAACATCTTGCTTCACGCCTTTCATTCTGCAGTGAAATGCAACTTCATTTAAATCGTTAGTGAGTAAGTCTATGTAGGTCTTCTTTCCACAGAAAATACTTTTATAAGCTAAACTTTGTTTTCCAGGTGTTATTTCTGCAAAGTCGCTATGAAATTGACCAAGGTTCTTTCCTATAAGTTCGCGACCATATCTCTTCTTAAACTCTGCTGCAAGCTTTGGTATGTCTTCATTATATAAGTGCATACTGTCGGTATCCTGGTAAAAGATTTGAAGACCCATGTCTCTGCAGTACAGAATACTTCATTCATAATACGTTTTGACATAGACAGAATATTAACACCAAGTGGACAGAAGTTAAAGTGTCTGCAAATGCTTTTCGTTAGCTTGAAAATAGTTTTATCTGAACCATCCAAACCTTCGAACTTCACTATATGGTTGTAATTTCTTATAGCATATCTTATAGCATCTTTGTCATTTACTATGGTTATTTTTGACTCAATAGGAGATAGAATAGTTTTGCCATAAATGCTGTTCAGAATGAGTTTTATAATTTCTTGTAAGGGGTTTCCTTCTTTCTTATACTTTAACCTTAACTCAAACAACTTCTTTACTTCATCTCTTATTCTCATATCTCTGTTTCCATCGTAATAGTATCCTTGCAACACTTCACATTTGACACATTGATATTTTATGAGGTCTTGTAATGTTATATGGTCAACATACATGAGACAGCAAGTGTTTGAACTTCTTGGAACGTTAAGTTCTGGATTTAGTTCAGGGTCGCAAACTATTAAATGAAAGTGTCTGGGTATACCAATCTCTGTTTATCTTAATGAGAACAAAGAAGCCAGACATAAACTTTTCACCAATGGGTTTCTTTGGTCATCATCGAATAAATGTCTCATGAGATACTCTGTGCTTAGCATCTCATCCTTCAATACTTTTGGAATTCCTTCTAAAGTATACAATCTTGCTATAGCTGAAGGATATAATGAAACAGTGTCGAAGTCAGCAATGAGTTTCTTTTTGCTCTTTTGTTTCATGTTATCTGACAACATACATCTTCCACCTTGAATGCATCTCGAAATAAATTCTCTTGGTTTATTTGAGAGGTCATAAAGATTTCCATTCGGAAGTATACTCTGTTCTCAAACAATTTTGTTAGCAATAGAACAATACTAACGTAGTCATAAACGTTTAAATCAAACTCTTTTCAATAAGTCATTGCGGAACTTTACAAAACCTTCTCTTAAAATTCTTACATCTTGTTTGCAGTAAAACGTGCTATATTTTTCTAAGTCGAAGTGGTTTTCATCTATTCTGCAACCTTTGATGGAATCTATGTTCTTCATAAATGTATCTGCATCATGGATAAACTTACATGCTTCAGAAATGACACAGTTCTGTTGTCATTTGCTAACAAAACACTGCTGTAGTAGTTATATGGAAATACTTCTTTCGGTCCTGTTTGTAAGTTAAACATAGCAGAAATAGTTTAAGCTTCTTATTTATAACACTGTAAGAGTCTTTTATAATAATTGCCCGTCCTTTATATAAGCCAGTTATTTGCATTGTTCGTGAACCTTTAATGATGGGAGTTCCTTTCACTTCTGTCATGTGTCTTAAGATGAAGTTTATGTCATAACTGAGGTTGTGAAAATATATTAACTCTTGTCAGGAAGTCTTTCAAAAATTCTGTTGCACAGTTTTGACCCCAAATGCTTTCACTAACTGAACCATCTTCACTGTCATAACAGATGTTAAAAGCTTTATGAAAGCCATCCGTACTACACTCAAAGTCAGCAAAGAAAACGTGCTCAGGTATGAATTTACATTTAGCTTTATTTACTTCTTTGACTCTGCTTTCTTCTTCAGTTGTACACAATACTTTGGAGCATATGTCAAATCTTTAAATGGTGCAAGGTTCTGTTTATATAAGTAGTCGTATATGTGAAAAGTTCTCCATAAGAAATAGGTTCGAAATATTTGCACTCCCACAATGTTTTCATAACATCCCATAACGGTGTTGTTCTATCATAACGAACTACATATTTATCTTCTCTCTTTGTATAAATCTTCATTCTGTTTCTCAATGTTCATTCCACCACAAGCTTTGAGAATTCTTTATAGTTCGAATGAAGTATGTTGTCATTGGTAATCTTTCATTTAGCATGTAGTGGTCTTCAACAAGAAGTAAGTCAATAGTTCTAACAGTTTCGCATTCTTTTGGTATATATCTCTTTATTTCATTATGTCTTGAGTCATTGAAATAACCAATGGTAACATTAAATGATATACCTGTTGCGTCAGAAATTTCTTGTACTTTACTTTGAGGAAAGTCTCTAACACGAATGACTTCTCTCATGTGGTCAATAGTTTCTTCATTTACTCCAGCCTGAATGCAAGCATAAACGAAACAATTGTCCTCTGTCATAAGTGTTGCAGTTCTTTTGTTCAGTTCATTGAGATTTGGTAGCGTTCAAGATTTATAGGTAATGTGCAAAGATACTTCCAGAACTGACCGCTTCTCTTCTTATAAAACTTCTTTTCACCATTATCTTTCCCAAAAGCTTTCTATAAGTGCTGGGTTTCCTGTTTGCTTAAGAGCTTCCAAAATGGCTTTCTGGTCATTTGTCAGTGTGCTTTCATCTCTATATGGTCTCTTTTTTTGGTTTGCCTTTCTTTACATCTGACATCGTTAAGCCTTCATATTCTGTTAAATCATACATCTTTATTTCGGTAAGATTCTTTATGTTTGTCAAGAAGAAGTCATAGTGCATTTCAACAATACCTGCGGCATTTGCTTCTATCTCTGATATAAAGTTCTCCTTCAAGAGCTGATGTAGTAATGTTCCAATATTATTGAGGTTTAACGTAGAACATTCATACTTTCCACCAAGTTTATAACATACCATCCATCTCTGTTGGGAGTTTATTTTAATTTTCTCTAAGAGTCTCATGAAAACCTTACCAAAATGTTTGTGTAAGTAGTCTCTGTTGGTTCATCTAAAGCTTCGATGTTAAGTCAATGAGTCTATTGCCTGACTTCACATTTCTCTTCCTATTCTCTTCATCTTCTTTAAACATCTCTCACCTTCTTTTGGTTTGTCGTCAATGGAACGAATGACATCGTTAGCTTTGGAACTTGTTCTATAGCACTTTTAAACATCTCTCTTCTCTGTTGTTTCAGTGTGTCATCTCTCTTTCGTGTTTCCCAACGTTTGCATGGCTACGCCCGCGCCGTCATGCGGCTTTGTTATGTCAAACATCTCTCTTCTTACTTCATGAGGTACAGCTCTTCTTGTTTCACCAACGTTTGCATTTGTTATGTCAAACATTTCTCTTCTTACTTCATGAGGTACTGAACGTCTATGATATAAGTCAATAGCAATGTCATTTAAAGGAAATGCTCTTGCATGGACTTCGTCCTCCGCCGCGTTGCGGCTTTATGAACTCATGAATTCTATCATAACTTATTGCACCATTATAGTCATATGAGGATGTCAGCGAGTGCTTTTTTGTTTGGTTGCGTAATGCTTTGCAACATCATATTAGCTTCTGTAAGAAGTTGTTTTATTTCCGAGTGTTCTAACTTAGACAACTTCCGATACATCTTTAGTAGGAAATAAAAAAATATTTTTTGAAAAAATTAGATTAGATTTTTTTTAAACGTGACATGTAATCAAAGACACCAGAGCGCATTGGAGCGAAGCGTCTGTAGTATACAATTGGTTCATCAAACCAGTCAAACATTATCGAAAAATGATTTAGTGTTCAGACAAAATTTCTCTTTCAAAAAATTGAAAGAATAAATGCCCGAACAAAATTTCTGAGAAGTTTTCCAAAACTGAGAGAAATACGACATTTTCTAAGAAAAATATGAATAAAAATATATTAATTACATACCATAGATAAATATTTTATACCAATTGTTTCCATTTTTGACATTTTTCTTTGAAATCTAAATTCAAAGATTCAATAAAATAGAAATAACAAAAAATATGATAATAATTGTAAATTGATATGAATTAAAATATATTTATTCTATTTCATTATATATTATCATTAATTATTTCAAAATTAAATATCTAACTTTATAACTTTATATTAGAATGATAATTATAAAAAAAAAGATAAATTTAGAATAAATCATATAGAATCATGTTTACAAACATATTAATATTAAAAGAAGATTAGAAATTCAGCACAAAGTTTTTTTCTTTCCTTAGTGAGTTTCTTCTTTCTTTGGCTTATCTTCTTCTTCTTATCATCTTTCTTCTCTTCCTTCTTTACATTCTTCTTTTCTTTGTTTTCTGGTTCTGGAAGAGAAGATTGTGCAGGAACATTGTGCTGTGCCCACATGTTCTTGAACTCTTCAATCTCATCATCACGAATGTTCTTCATTGTCTCGTGTTTCTCAACTTTACCATCTTTGTCAGTAACTTCATGAACTGTGAGAGACTTGTTGCCGACACGCTTTGTATCAACAACTTTGCGGAGACCACTCTTTGAATCAACTTCCTCACGATGTATGTGCTGTATACCATCGGAGCCACTATACATTGATGATGTGAATGAGTAGTATTGTGGAACATCATCATCACTTTCGACGTCATCATCATCAACATTTGAAGATTCCTTGACGTCTTCCTGCTTTACTTCTTCTTTCTTTGGTTTCTCCTCTGTCTTCTTGGAGGAATTCTTCTTATTACTGTTCTTCTTGCAGTGTTTGCATTCAGTATCATATTCAATCATATCATGTTCAACATCACGGCGAGTGAATGCATCATAAAAGTCACCAAATTCTTCTTCCATAGCACGATCTACTGAATCCATCCAACGTGACATGTAATCAAAGACACCAGAGCGCATTGGAGCGAAGCGTCTGTAGTATACAATTGGTTCATCAAACCAGTCAAACATTATCGAAAAATGATTTAGTGTTCAGACAAAATTTCTCTTTTCAAAAAATTGAAAGAATAAATGCCCGAACAAAATTTCTGAGAAGTTTTCCAAAACTGAGAGAAATACGACATTTTCTAAGAAAAATATGAATAAAGAATATATTAATTACATACCATAGATAAATATTTTATACCAATTGTTTCCATTTTTGACATTTTTCTTTGAAATCTAAATTCAAAGATTCAATAAAATAGAAATAACGATAAAAATATGATAATAATTGTAAATTGATATGAATTAAAATATATTTATTCTATTTCATTATATATTATCATTAATTATTTCAAAATTAAATATCTAATTCTTTATAACTTTATATTAGAATGATAATTATAAAAAAAAGATAAATTTAGAATAAATCATATAGAATCATGTTTACAAACATATTAATATTAAAAGAAGATTAGAAATTCAGCACAAAGTTTTTTTCTTTCCTTAGTGAGTTTCTTCTTTCTTTGGCTTATCTTCTGTCTTCTTATCATCTTTCTTCTCTTCCTTCTTTACATTCTTCTTTTCTTTGTTTTCTGGTTCTGGAAGAGAAGATTGTGCAGGAACATTGTGCTGTGCCCACATGTTCTTGAACTCTTCAATCTCATCATCACGAATGTTCTTCATTGTCTCGTGTTTCTCAACTTTACCATCTTTGTCAGTAACTTCATGAACTGTGAGAGACTTGTTGCCGACACGCTTTGTATCAACAACTTTGCGGAGACCACTCTTTGAATCAACTTCCTCACGATGTATGTGCTGTATACCATCGGAGCCACTATACATTGATGATGTGAATGAGTAGTATTGTGGAACATCATCATCACTTTCGACGTCATCATCATCAACATTTGAAGATTCCTTGACGTCTTCCTGCTTTACTTCTTCTTTCTTTGGTTTCTCCTCTGTCTTCTTGGAGGAATTCTTCTTATTACTGTTCTTCTTGCAGTGTTTGCATTCAGTATCATATTCAATCATATCATGTTCAACATCACGGCGAGTGAATGCATCATAAAAGTCACCAAATTCTTCTTCCATAGCACGATCTACTGAATCCATCCAACGTGACATGTAATCAAAGACACCAGAGCGCATTGGAGCGAAGCGTCTGTAGTATACAATTGGTTCATCAAACCAGTCAAACATTATCGAAAAATGATTTAGTGTTCAGACAAAATTTCTCTTTTCAAAAAATTGAAAGAATAAATGCCCGAACAAAATTTCTGAGAAGTTTTCCAAAACTGAGAGAAATACGACATTTTCTAAGAAAAATATGAATAAAGAATATATTAATTACATACCATAGATAAATATTTATACCAATTGTTTCCATTTTTGACATTTTTCTTTGAAATCTAAATTCAAAGATTCAATAAAATAGAAATAACGATAAAAATATGATAATAATTGTAAATTGATATGAATTAAAATATATTTATTCTATTTTCATTATATATTATCATTAATTATTTCAAAATTAAATATCTAATTCTTTATAACTTTATATTAGAATGATAATTATAAAAAAAAGATAAATTTAGAATAAATCATATAGAATCATGTTTACAAACATATTAATATTAAAAGAAGATTAGAAATTCAGCACAAAGTTTTTTTCTTTCCTTAGTGAGTTTCTTCTTTCTTTGGCTTATCTTCTGTCTTCTTATCATCTTTCTTCTCTTCCTTCTTTACATTCTTCTTTTCTTTGTTTTCTGGTTCTGGAAGAGAAGATTGTGCAGGAACATTGTGCTGTGCCCACATGTTCTTGAACTCTTCAATCTCATCATCACGAATGTTCTTCATTGTCTCGTGTTTCTCAACTTTACCATCTTTGTCAGTAACTTCATGAACTGTGAGAGACTTGTTGCCGACACGCTTTGTATCAACAACTTTGCGGAGACCACTCTTTGAATCAACTTCCTCACGATGTATGTGCTGTATACCATCGGAGCCACTATACATTGATGATGTGAATGAGTAGTATTGTGGAACATCATCATCACTTTCGACGTCATCATCATCAACATTTGAAGATTCCTTGACGTCTTCCTGCTTTACTTCTTCTTTCTTTGGTTTCTCCTCTGTCTTCTTGGAGGAATTCTTCTTATTACTGTTCTTCTTGCAGTGTTTGCATTCAGTATCATATTCAATCATATCATGTTCAACATCACGGCGAGTGAATGCATCATAAAAGTCACCAAATTCTTCTTCCATAGCACGATCTACTGAATCCATCCAACGTGACATGTAATCAAAGACACCAGAGCGCATTGGAGCGAAGCGTCTGTAGTATACAATTGGTTCATCAAACCAGTCAAACATTATCGAAAAATGATTTAGTGTTCAGACAAAATTTCTCTTTTCAAAAAATTGAAAGAATAAATGCCCGAACAAAATTTCTGAGAAGTTTTCCAAAACTGAGAGAAATACGACATTTTCTAAGAAAAATATGAATAAAGAATATATTAATTACATACCATAGATAAATATTTTATACCAATTGTTTCCATTTTTGACATTTTTCTTTGAAATCTAAATTCAAAGATTCAATAAAATAGAAATAACGATAAAAATATGATAATAATTGTAAATTGATATGAATTAAAATATATTTATTCTATTTTCATTATATATTATCATTAATTATTTCAAAATTAAATATCTAATTCTTTATAACTTTATATTAGAATGATAATTATAAAAAAAAGATAAATTTAGAATAAATCATATAGAATCATGTTTACAAACATATTAATATTAAAAGAAGATTAGAAATTCAGCACAAAGTTTTTTTCTTTCCTTAGTGAGTTTCTTCTTTCTTTGGCTTATCTTCTGTCTTCTTATCATCTTTCTTCTCTTCCTTCTTTACATTCTTCTTTTCTTTTTTTCTGGTTCTGGAAGAGAAGATTGTGCAGGAACATTGTGCTGTGCCCACATGTTCTTGAACTCTTCAATCTCATCATCACGAATGTTCTTCATTGTCTCGTGTTTCTCAACTTTACCATCTTTGTCAGTAACTTCATGAACTGTGAGAGACTTGTTGCCGACACGCTTTGTATCAACAACTTTGCGGAGACCACTCTTTGAATCAACTTCCTCACGATGTATGTGCTGTATACCATCGGAGCCACTATACATTGATGATGTGAATGAGTAGTATTGTGGAACATCATCATCACTTTCGACGTCATCATCATCAACATTTGAAGATTCCTTGACGTCTTCCTGCTTTACTTCTTCTTTCTTGGTTTCTCCTCTGTCTTCTTGGAGGAATTCTTCTTATTACTGTTCTTCTTGCAGTGTTTGCATTCAGTATCATATTCAATCATATCATGTTCAACATCACGGCGAGTGAATGCATCATAAAAGTCACCAAATTCTTCTTCCATAGCACGATCTACTGAATCCATCCAACGTGACATGTAATCAAAGACACCAGAGCGCATTGGAGCGAAGCGTCTGTAGTATACAATTGGTTCATCAAACCAGTCAAACATTATCGAAAAATGATTTAGTGTTCAGACAAAATTTCTCTTTTCAAAAAATTGAAAGAATAAATGCCCGAACAAAATTTCTGAGAAGTTTTCCAAAACTGAGAGAAATACGACATTTTCTAAGAAAAATATGAATAAAGAATATATTAATTACATACCATAGATAAATATTTTATACCAATTGTTTCCATTTTTGACATTTTTCTTTGAAATCTAAATTCAAAGATTCAATAAAATAGAAATAACGATAAAAATATGATAATAATTGTAAATTGATATGAATTAAAATATATTTATTCTATTTTCATTATATATTATCATTAATTATTTCAAAATTAAATATCTAATTCTTTATAACTTTATATTAGAATGATAATTATAAAAAAAAGATAAATTTAGAATAAATCATATAGAATCATGTTTACAAACATATTAATATTAAAAGAAGATTAGAAATTCAGCACAAAGTTTTTTTCTTTCCTTAGTGAGTTTCTTCTTTCTTTGGCTTATCTTCTGTCTTCTTATCATCTTTCTTCTCTTCCTTCTTTACATTCTTCTTTTCTTTGTTTTCTGGTTCTGGAAGAGAAGATTGTGCAGGAACATTGTGCTGTGCCCACATGTTCTTGAACTCTTCAATCTCATCATCACGAATGTTCTTCATTGTCTCGTGTTTCTCAACTTTACCATCTTTGTCAGTAACTTCATGAACTGTGAGAGACTTGTTGCCGACACGCTTTGTATCAACAACTTTGCGGAGACCACTCTTTGAATCAACTTCCTCACGATGTATGTGCTGTATACCATCGGAGCCACTATACATTGATGATGTGAATGAGTAGTATTGTGGAACATCATCATCACTTTCGACGTCATCATCATCAACATTTGAAGATTCCTTGACGTCTTCCTGCTTTACTTCTTCTTTCTTTGGTTTCTCCTCTGTCTTCTTGGAGGAATTCTTCTTATTACTGTTCTTCTTGCAGTGTTTGCATTCAGTATCATATTCAATCATATCATGTTCAACATCACGGCGAGTGAATGCATCATAAAAGTCACCAAATTCTTCTTCCATAGCACGATCTACTGAATCCATCCAACGTGACATGTAATCAAAGACACCAGAGCGCATTGGAGCGAAGCGTCTGTAGTATACAATTGGTTCATCAAACCAGTCAAACATTATCGAAAAATGATTTAGTGTTCAGACAAAATTTCTCTTTTCAAAAAATTGAAAGAATAAATGCCCGAACAAAATTTCTGAGAAGTTTTCCAAAACTGAGAGAAATACGACATTTTCTAAGAAAAATATGAATAAAGAATATATTAATTACATACCATAGATAAATATTTTATACCAATTGTTTCCATTTTTGACATTTTTCTTTGAAATCTAAATTCAAAGATTCAATAAAATAGAAATAACGATAAAAATATGATAATAATTGTAAATTGATATGAATTAAAATATATTTATTC